AGTCTGTTCACGGTACCGATGGTTTCTTTAGCCAAGCTTTCTAATTAACGTTAATTTGATGCCAAACGTTTTATACGCTGTTTTTTCAAATCGAAAGACTACGAAGAAAACTTTTCCTAATTTAGCACACAAATATGTTATTTTTGTTTACTGTTTTTTAGTTATTATAATAAAAAGCTTATATTTTTCGAAAGTAATTTCGTTTAAGAATTCATTATACATTATTATTCCTCTCTATTCCTCTTCATTACTACTAGTGAGTCGGATTTGAGTCAATGAATCTAATGAGTTAGAATACAAAAATAAAATATGTATTTTTTGCAGATTTCAATAACAGTAATATTGTTAATACCGTTCCATATTTAAATGTGTCACGGCGTCTTTTGGCAGGTAACCCTTATAGGACGGGATGCGTCTCGGCCCCCTGACACACATACAAACACCACTAAAATTAGATTAGTGAATCTCACGACACGCTAGACAAACATATGGGTTATAGCGAAAGTTCATACAGTCCAAAAATAGATGTGTAAGTAATGAGACGTATGTAGTATTTGGATTGCTTAAATAGATCCAAATATAAAATATTGATTTTTCAACTTAGTGACATATACAGTTTTCACGAAAACGTATCGTATGTGTGTGTTTACAATTTTTTTACTTTTTTTGTTGAGCAATCCATTTTCCAAGTCAAACACAAAACGCGTTAAGAAGTAAAATTAAAGATCCAAAAGAAATTAGTTTTTCACCTCAGTAGCTCAAACACGCCGCTTTTGCTGCGAGACAACAGTGAACAAAACGCGATTTTGATTCGAGCGTGGGTTAAAGTAGCTTTTTAATTTTTCAATCTTCAGTGATACGAATTGACATTGTTCAGCCATAAATTTGAAACATTCGAATTTTACTGTGCTCTGTCTCTTTCACACGCATTTAAAAAAGCGAGTGAAAAACAAACCCGTTCGAAATTCGATTTTGGAATTCGACCACAAAGAAAATACGTTCGGAAACGCGTAATACCCTAAAATTTAAAGATATTTGTAATAAAGAAATTACATTTTTTTTAATAGTTATTTCAATCTATTCCTGTTCAGTTCTATGTCTCCTAAGTAATATGTGTTCTCACTGCTGAGGTGAAAAGTTATGTGTGCTACACGAGAGCAAAGTTTTTTGCATCTCGTGCTGTTGAGTCCCTCACTACGCTCAGGATTCTAACTTTGAATCATAGAATCCTTCGGTTGCTCGGGACTCAAAATCAGCGCTCGAAACAAAAAACAACTTTACTGTCTTGTTGCACAAATAACTATTGAGCTCACAATATTTAGTTTGATTTAGGATGTTTGTTATTCTGGTTTGGTAATTGTCTGCAAGGTCACGAGGTAAATCGTATTCAAATACGTCGTTCAGAAACATGACAAATGGTCCTTTGGCCAAAACAATGAGATAGCACGTGGTTTAATACAAATTCCGTACGGCTAAGCGGAACTTGATACAACAACATTTTACAACCGAATTATACTACGTTGCACGAGTAGTAGTAAGTATTCAAAGCACGGTGATTATACGGGTCCGTTACCCTACTCTGCAAGCGGAATACTGATAATAGTCAACCGGGAATAGAACGCCATCATCGTAATGTCACTCCATCATAATGCGCCTGGTGATTGTAGTTAAGTATTGTTACCGTTTAGTTTAAAGCGATCGCGCGAATCAACTACTTAGATGTTGTAATTCAGGCTATTTAGATCAACTAAAATGATAGGCAATAACCATATTCGATGCGCAAAAAAATAAAATATTTCTAGGTCTATTAAAACCATTTCAAACCTACAGCTAGATTCGTTGAAATATAATTTTTTTCAGGTATTTCAACTTTAAATTAGTCTACTGTAAAGTTCACGCATTGTCGCTTAGTCACGTTTGCCTTTCAAGCGTCGATATGTAAAAGATAATGTATGTATGTTCACCTAAAATTATCTTACGTAGTTAACTTGCAGAATGATCTAATCGCTTTTATGTTTTAATGTATAATTGTATTTTGTTGCTCGCGAAGCCGCGGGCGCAGCTAGTTTGCTCTGTAACTCAGTAGCAAACACGGACGGTCACTTTTGTGTGTCAAACCCGATTCACTATTCAGCTGAACGATATCGTATCGTATCGATAGAAGACTAACTGTAATGCTTCATTGAAAATTGAAGTTTTTTTTTTTTTGCTTTGATGGGCGCACTAGCTCACGGCCCACCAGATGTTAAGTGGTTACCGGAGCCCATAGACATCTACAACGTAAATGCCGCCACCCACCTTGAGATATGAGTTCTAAGATCTCAGTATAGTTACAGCGGTTGCCCCACCCTTCCAACCGGAACGCATTACTGCTTCACGGCAGAAATAGGCAGGGTGGTACCTACCCGTGCGGACTCACAAGAGGTCCCACCAACAGTGGAATATTTTAGAAAATTGAATAGTAACCTTCCGAGAATATACTATTAGTTTATGATAAGTAATCATAATTTCTGATTTATATACATTTACGAAACGGCTAATTGAACGCTTGCTGGTGCCTTGTTCGCGCAATTAGATAACTCTAGAACGAATGTTGTTAGAATGGCGTAGTGCCAATTTTTTTTAGACAACAGCTATAGCGATAACATTGTAGAATAAGTAGAAATAAAATGCGCATGTGACAAAGATTATCTTTATATATATATTTCTTCTGTGCGTGTGTTTGTTACTGAACTCCTCCTAAACGGCTTGACCGATTTTAATGGCTTTTTTTTTGTATGCGTTTGGGTGGCACCCTGGATGGTTTAGATTCACAAATCAGTCCGGCATATGGCGCTGCTGTCGGTATCTAGGTTATTTGGTTATTTGTCTTTCCTAGAAATAATTTATATAGCTAAACAACGTTTGCCGGGTGAGCTAGTTATATTATAAAGTAGGATGTCGTTTGGTGTACTAGCTATCGTATTTATGAGTATGATACCTAAATAATTCAGTCTTTTTTAAATCAGCCGTAGGCGTATAAACTGTTATTGTCCATTGAGATTTGAACTACTTTTCTTTTAGGGCTAGCAATATTGAATATTTCAATAATATTGTCTGATTATTAAGCAATAATATGTCCAATATGTAATGATATCGCTAATTTATGTAATTAGATTAAAGACTGTTCTTCTGTGATCATAGTTCTGGTCAATCAGATCAATAGTAAAATGATGTAATGGCCAGCCCTTACAATAAATACAATGACGGTTAATTCGAACTTACAATGAGGTACCCAATTGAAGCCCACGCGCCGCCCGCCGCTTGACCCTCTGTCCATTCACAAAATTACTATTGAGACATCATCCGTAATAATTACAGTTCATGCGTTCACTAGCTACATACTTATGAATTCTTTAGTAACGATAATTAATTTGGATATATGATGATGTATTCGAATAATTTCAATGTGGAAATGATTTGTAATACGTTATTTTACATTTTACGTGAGTTTTGTTTTTCACAAACAACGTATTTTGATATATAAGTACTAAACTATCCTTCCTGAAAGGAATTATGAGGTAAATTATGAAATTCCTCATTCAAACAAAAAGTACATTCTTTTTTTAAAGTTCTTAGTTGAGATGTTTTATTTTTCGATATTACATATTATCGCATGTCGGAAATGGGCGCAGTCTACCGCTGCCGCGGTAATGATGCGTGAACACCAATGAGAATCTTCAATGGAGCGCGTGGGAAAGGACGGATTCATAAAAATATATATATATTTTTAATACCACCAAATCGATCTTGGCTTATTTTCGGCGTATCGTCTACCGTTATTCATTTTTAATATTCGTATTTAGATGTTTATTTGAATCGCGTTTTGCCGTTCGTAATATAAGGTCAGACGAGAACGAAGAGACGTATCGACAGAAAGAGGTCGCAAATGAATTCTTGCAAATGTAAAAATAACCAACAGAAATTTGTACTACATTTCTTATTGAAATAAATATGTGTGCAATTCACACTTGGTAGAAGTGAAACCTTCCAAAATTAAAATACAATTATCCTAAACGTCTTAAGTATACGTAAAATTTTGTCATTAGTAAATAATTGTAAGGTAGCGCCCTCTGTGAATTGATATTTTAATTTCACGTATAATCCTAAATTAAAATTCACTACAAGAGCTTTCATACACACGTTAGTATTAAAAAATCTCACAGATGGCGCTATATTAAATAGTATGTATATTTCTGTCTCATTCATCCTACACATTTTTGTATTTGTGTCTCTTACCTGTCGTTTTTTCCGTTGCATCCGGTTTGAAATCACAACGATTCTAAAGAAGTTTTCACTTCAAAAATTTTTTATTGCTTAGATGGGTGGACGAGCTCACAGCCCACCTGGTTTTAAGTGGAAAAATATTATAAAACCAAACAAATACTGTGTACATATAAAAATCTTGGTGGTTTTCTAGTAATGTTATTCAACAACTATAGTGCTGATTGTGTCATACATTTTAAGAATATATCGATGCGTGATTTGAAGTTTAAACACCCACCGATTTCACTTGTCGCAGTCGATGTGTGATGATCGCTAAGGGCCTGTGCTATTTTATTGTCGAAATTTAGAAAGCCTTATATTATTACACAACGATTCATCCCTTTTTCGATAACATCCGCACTGAAGATCGCCATATTTTTTTACGATCGTGTTTAAGATCTCGTTTTTACAAAACTTTTGTAACTTTAACGAATTCAATATTAATTGATTGTAATTAAAAAAAATGCGATAAACGTTACAGCGTACATATGACATGTACAGGAATAAAATTGTGGAGTATTAACTGTCTGATAGACATTTTCTTGTTTTATATGTAGCAAAATTGACTTGATGACACAAACTATAACAAGTCTTCTTAACATTCTTTTGATCACGACAGTATTGACATTTGAAGTTATTGTTTGGAGCTTATAAAGCTAAAAAGAAGCCGTTCAAGAATTTTACTATTTTTTTAGAGCCACCGCGGGTGACGGCGGCGGTAGGGCCACGAAGCAAGCGAGCGCAAACACCCCAACCGGTCCGCGCTCAGCCACCGCCTTTGCCGGCCACAGTTCCTGTGTCTACATTGCTACCATCACAACACGATCAAGCTGTCGCCCTCGCACATGCCGCTAAAGGATTTGAAGCTTTGGGCTGCTTAGTTCAATACTTGGTGTTTCGGGTTAGTAACGAATGTTTGTGTTTTATTATAGACTAGCTAACCTGGCAGACTTCGTAGTGCCTCAACCGATAAATAAAATACCTAAGCTTTTGTATAAAATAAACTTAAAACAAACAAAAGGAATCCGTCCGACGGGGGACGCATCAAAGGAAAATCAAAATTGTTATTTTTATTTAATTCCGAGCATTTTCATATTTATCTAAATTTACCTTTTAAAAATTACCTTTTAAACCTGCTCTGGACTTCCACAAATAATTGAAGACCAAAATTAGCCAAATCGGTCCAGCCGTTCTCGAGTATTAACGAGACTAACGAACAGCAATTCATTTTTATATACTTATATATAGATTTGCACGGTGCTATTGAAACTATATTTATTTACATTGAAAAACAAAGTTGTTCACTGTAATCAGTGTCATTTTTTTTTTTCACATTGATTTTGTATTTTATTTTGGATTATTTTGCGTATTCGGGTGAACAAGCTCATAGTCCAACTGGTGTAAAGGAGACTATAGACATCACAGTATGAATACGCCACCTAACTGGAGATATGAGGTTGGAGTCTCATTTGTATTTAAAAACAGCATTTTCACCCTTGCCACAGAAGCGACTGTGCTGTGTGACTGCTTCGAGACAGAAGTAGGCCGGACGGTGGTACATACCCATTCAGGCTTACATTATATACCTTACCTCAGAATAATAAACCACTGTGTAAATTGTATACGTTTTTGAAATAAAAATTTTTTTTATTGCATATATGGTTGGACGAGCTCACAGCCCACCTGGTGTTAAGTGGTTACAGGAGCCCATAGACATCTACAACGTGAATGAGCCACCCACCTTGAGATATAAGTTCTAAGGTCTCAAGTATAGTTACAACGGCTGCCCCGCCCTTCAAGCCGAAACACATTACTGCTTTACGGCAGAAATAAGCAGGATGGTAGTACCTACCCGCGCGGACTCACAAGAGGTCCTACCGCCAGTAAATCTCAAGTATAGTTACAACGAGTATCTCAAGTATAGTTTGTTTCCGCTTTGGTTTCCAGTTGGACGCACTGAACGGCGGAAACTGGCGTCTAGAAGCCGAGCGATGGCGTGGTGTAGCTGCCGCAGAGCGCAGCAGCGCCGCTCGTGCCGACAGAGATCGCCAGCAAAGAGCTCAGAAAGACCTCGATACCAGTAAGTTTTTAAAACGAATATTACATCTCAAGTTTAAATTGGTAACACCTACAAAATTTAAATTAAAATGAACAAATTACAGTTGCCGAATGCTTGAGCAAGATCTCAGAGCTGGAAGTGGAGGTGTCGTCAAAAGAGGAAGCGAACGCACGCCTCCAAGCTACACATATGGAGGAGGTTGCCGCGCTAGCTAACGACATCAAAGGGCTTAAGGTAAGATCGAATGTTTTTTTTTTTTTTTATTAAGTTCACACAACTAGATTATCGCCCACCTGTCCTGGTGAAACTGGAAAGGCCTCCGGGCCACCAATAATCCTTCAATCATAAAAAAAACAACTGGATAAAATCTGCACACATAAACATTGAATTTATTAACATAAAATAATACATTATAGAATTAACCCTCTTGGGTGTGAACACATCTTGCTTAATCTTGCTTAATGCCAATATTAAAACTAAGACAAAGAAAACAAAAAAAAAAAACAAAAAGCTGCATATAGAAACTTATAAAAAAAACAATCAACAATAAAAATAAAATTATGAAGAGGGAAATGTATGTTCAATAAAAATCATGTTGTGATGTTGTTGACCTAATAAACACCATTCCATTATCGAAATTGTGTGTGAGTCGTTTAATATATCGGTTTGTTTTTTTTGTTACAGGATACAATCGAATCCCTGAAACATGAAGTCGCAGAAAGCAGAGCGCGATTGCATGCGCACGGTGAAATCGAGCGCACGCTACGGGCACAATTAGAAGCCGCACGAGCTGAACTCGAACGCGAAGCTCAGTCTCACGACACGTCGTCGGATCGATCGCCGGACACGTCAGCCTACTCGTCGTGCGAGAAGTCTTACAACACATGCGATGCGGCCTGCGACCCGGTCTCGTGTGAGGCGGAAGACTGCGAATTGCGATTAAACGCACAAGAGGAACTAAGTACCGATGCTAATGAATTAGCGGCCGAGGTTAATATTGCAATTTGTTTTTATCATAAACCACGCACGCTTGCTCCGTGGTCGTCTCGGTGACGCAACTACACTATAATGATATGTTACGTGACTTTATTTACTGTCATCTTACCGGGAGGTGAAAGCCTATTTGGTTTAAGCGATATTTTTGCAACTTTACAGGAGAGCCAATTAAAGTTTAAGTTTTGGAAATAATATTATATCAAAAAAACTTCTTCAGCTATTTCAATAGAGTAAACTTAGTTGAAGTTCAAATAAAAACATCGAATTGTTGATGGTAATACCAAATAAAACGCACCTTTAATTACAAAGATGTCGCGTATTAAACGAAACGTCCCTTAAACCGAAGAGCCTTTCAGCCCTCGGATATATTTGAATACACACATTTTTTTTTTTTTTTCGTTTTTGTAAAATGATTACCTACTAGCGGCCCGCTCCGGCTGCGCTCGGGTCTTTAACAAAAATTTCATCTACATTTGACGTTGCTTTATTTTTTTAAATAAAAGAACACTTATTGCGGCATAACTATAATAGTTAGATATATGCTATCGCAACACTTTTTGTAAATAATACTATGTTCTACAAAGCTGTAGTACATTATTTTATTCTATCATCAATACTTTTCGCAGGGCACGCGATGTAAGGAATATTGTAGGTAATTTTTTTACCTTGGGTTACATTATTGGAGTTTTAGTAAGGAACCCTAGTTTTTTTCAAAAAAGATTATAGCCTATGTCACTCTGGATTAGTGTAACTTCCAAACAGTGACAGAATTTTTTAAATCAGTTCAGTAGTTTCGGAGCGTATTCAATACAAACAAACAAACAAATCTTTCCTCTTTATAATATTAGTATAAATTAGAACGTATAGTCAGTTCGTTAACCTTATAGTGTCTTCTGAGTAATAGGCAAACGAAACCGAGTGAGCCTGTCTGCTTATTTGCAATACAAAAACGGTTAAATTTGATATTTTTTTATATAAAAACACGGTGAAATTTGATGCAATTTTTAGCAAACTCTGTAGTCTTTTCGAGTGGGGCTTATTTTGTTACACATATTCATTTTAATTATACAGGTTCGATCGCTGCGAGCCGTCATCGAGTTGAAGCAGGCCGAGATGGCTTCACTGCGCGATACGCGGGCAGAACTCGCGTCGGAACGCGAGCGACGCACGGCGGCCGAGCGGGAGTTGCGCGCCGCGCGTCACGCCGCCGAGGAGCTGCGGGAGCGCGCCGCCGCGAGACAACGCGACGTCGAGCGACTACGCGACGACAACAGGAGGCTGCGCGACGCCGCCGCTCGTGACCGGGACCACGCGTCGAGGCTCGCCGCGCTCAATGAAGAGCTCAGATACAAGCTCAGACAGAAATCTCAAGTTAGTAAACTGTATTTGTTGAACAGTCTTAAATTAAAAATTAATTATGAAATTAATGGTGGTAGGACCTCTTGTGAGTCCGCGCGGGTAGGTACCACCCCCTGCCTATTTCTGCCGTGATGCAGTAATGCGTTTCGGTTTGAAGGGCGAGGCAGCCGTTGTAACGATACTGAGACCTTAGAACTTATATCTCAAGGTGGGTGGCGCATTTACGTTGTGGATGTCTATGGGCTCCAGTAACCACTTAACACCAGGTGGGCTGTGAGCTCGTCCACCCATCTAAGCAAAAAAAAAAACTATATTAGTTAAGTGATTGAATGGAATACCCGAATCCCGATTATATTGTTTGCGTAATTGTATGACCCGGCTCTGATACTCAGCTCCATAAACTTCACAACATGTATACCATCATCCACCTTGAGATGTGAGATCGAAATCTCATTGATATTGCACAACGGCTGTCCCACACCTCAAACTGGACTGCATCGCGGCAGAAATAGGAAGTATTGTGGTAATACCAATACGCCCTATCGCTGTAAGTCCCGGCGGTCGATCGCAGTACGCTGTTATTATACTCAGAGAACGAGAACACAGTTAGCTGTTCTGTGTTGAATCTCTTAGTCGCATTTTACAACACCCACGAAAAGAGATAGGGTGGTGCTAGATGTCGCCGGTCTCTGGCACCGTCCTCGCCGAACCCGTCGCTTGCGACGAAGGGCTCGACGAGTAAATTAACCCATAGCACAGCCCACTGAGTTTCTCGCCGGATCTTCTCAGTGGGTCGCGTTTCCGATCCGGTGGTAGATTCTGCGAAGCATTTTTCTTGCTAGGGCCAGTAAATATTCCGGTTTGAGCCCGTGAGCTCACTTACACGTTAGGGTGAAGCTGAAATAGCCTGTCAAGGCTATCTGCATAGGTAGGGAATGAAAAAAAAAAGTTGTCAAGATTGTAAACGAATTTGTTGAACAGGCTCTGGCCCGCAGTGACGTGGACTTATTATATGCAACCGATAATGTTTCGAAGACTTATATTTAAAAAATCTACAATACGGAACTGGATGGGAGTTACCAATTCAACACTTTTATTACTAACATCTCATTCATAAATTATCTATTTATTGATTAAGCCAAGAGAGTTTTAAAAGAAATTCACAAACCTAGAGGCGACCTCTTCAGGAGTTTCTTCAATCTCAAGCACCCAGCTTACTGAGTCGTGCTTCTCCACGACACCCTTGACGGCGGGTAACGGAAGAGTGTCGGCGCGGGGGACACTGCAGGCGAGGGGGGCGAGGGGGGCGGCGGGGAGGTGGACCGCACCGAGTCGCCGGACGACGTGCGCCCGCGGACCGGAGAGCGCTCGATGTAGCCCCCGCCCGCTAACAATGACACCACCTAAACAGAAATATTTGTACTGATAAATTTTTTAAGCTCAACTTAAAAAATTTAAATATATATTGTATTTTTATTATAGTACTAGCTGTACCCACCTGCTTCAATAGGCATTTAAAATTAACATTATTATTTCTCATCCCCACAAACATTCTCATCATTATAGCCCCCGCAACTGGTATAGGGGGTCCAACACTCATATAAAAAAACCACTCTAGATTTATATCTATACTAATAACATGTAAATCTACAGTGGTGTTTACGGATGTTCCGTTAG